CATCAATATTTTAAAAATTTACTAAATACCTTGAATGGTTTTGAACATAGATGAAACCAAAAAAATTCGGAATTTATGGTTGTGTTGCAATAATATTCATTTGTCAATTACGATATTGCTTCCAAATTTTACCCATCGACATTTGTATGATTGTATCTTTATTTTAAATTTTCAGTACGGCTGACATAATTTATATACTGCTATTAATGTATTCACATGATATGGTTTCGCTCAGCGAAGTGAAATTAATAAAACGCTTCTAAACAGTCGTGGAGTCAAGAGAGTTGTCTATGATTAAGCAAAGGAAATCAAAAAGGTAAGAACAGAAGAATAAGATACAATCAGTCACTAATAAATGCACGAATGATAGCCACAAAACAAAACAACAAAAAAAGAGGTAGAATTGGAATTGGCCATATGTGGCGGCTAAAGGGGTAGACCCAATGTGATCACATGCAACCATGTGACTCCAATTATCAACCTCATATGTGAATGTGGCCGAGGAGATGCCAAATTTCAAGTATCAATTTCTCCTTTTCTTCTCCTTCTTTGTACAACGCTATTGACAAAACAATAACAAAACCACAATTTATCCTATCCGTTGAAAATAAGAAATCACAATTTTGAAAATAATAAATGTTTTGATCNCTAAAACCCTCTAAACTTTCGTAACTAAACCATAATAAAACATAATTAACACAAACATAAATAATATAAAAAAAATATAATTTTGAAAAAGTGGCATTTTTGTAAAGATTTCAAAAGTGTGGCATTTTTGTAAAGTGGCACTTGAAAAATGGTTTTATGTAAAGAATAACTTTTAAATAAACATTTTAACCATAGCTTATATGCACTATTGTTTTTCCTGTTTAATCTCATGTGGCGTTCTTGGTTGATCTCAGAGCTGTTTTAGACCTGGTGAGGTTATAGTCGCTAAAGAGAATCACTCTAAAAAAAGAGTCTCTTTGGCTCTCTCTCTCTCCGACATTTTTGTGAAAAAAAAATATTTTTGTGGAGATTTGATATGTGCAGGTGCTTGGATTTGGAAATTAATTGAAGTGTTATCCAAATGCTCTCTCGTACATGATGAAGAATCATCGAGAGAGCGTTGGGATAAAAAATGAGTCTGAAAAAGGAAATATTTTGAGCACTCTTAAGTATATTGGGCAATATATAACTTTTTTTTTATTTGAAACCATGGAATATATACTTCAGAACATTTTTAGTATACATGCAATGTTTGTAATTCGTAAGGAAAATGTTGGGAATAAGACTATTATTTTATCATACCATAATTTTATCATTCCTCATGTCCAAGCATTAAGCTAACATAAACATTTTTTATTACAAAAGAAAAATATTTGGAAATTGGACTAATTAATTGCATGTCCTCGACTAGATCCTTACAATTAATGAAAGAGTGAAAATGTCTGCAATTTCTAATATATTTTGCAACAAAATTTT